CTTTCTTAGTTTGGCCAATGTAAATTAAACCACACTGGCAAGGAATCCTATAAATACCCCAGGAATTCATATCTGGAATGGGGTCCTTGAGTATGGAACTCGGAATTTTAATGATGGAAGAATAAACAACCCGAAAGTTAAATTTCTGTAAAATTCGTGGAATTTTGTAGTCAACTAATGGAAAGACGGGAATGACAACAGAATTCTTATAATCTCCTGAAACAAGAGTGTTCCTTTTGGTGTGTTGAGATAAGAATTTTTTAACTGCTTGATTAATAATGTTGTGTGATAAGCCCCTGTCAATAGCTACTGATTTTAAATAATTTAGTTCTTCATCAAGAGACACTTTGGAAGAGCAAACTTGAAGTGCACGGAAAACATAGGAATAAAATGAAACTAGCTTTTGTTTAGTCGGATGAAATGGTTTTAAGTGTGGTGGAAGGCAAAACGATGAAGGTTTACGGTAAACCGTAATTCCGAAGTTGGATGTGTTACGTGTGAGCAGAATGTCGAAGAACGGAAGAGAATTGCAAGTCTCAATTTCAAAAGTGTAAACTCTATAGCAGGATCAAGTAGCAATTCATTGTAGAAAGAACTTTATTTAAATCAACTTTATTACCTTCAAACAGGGTAAAAGTATCATCTACGTAGCGGAACCATACCGGGAAGTTTAAAGTTTCAAACAATTTTGATTCATATTAATGCTCGTAATATCAGCCAGGATGGGACTGAGGGGGCTTCCCATGACTAATCCCTCAGTTTGCTTGTAATATTTATTTTGGAAAACAAAATGTGTTTGTTTCAAACAGAGTTGAGTGAGAGAAATTAGCTCATCAATTTCGGTGCAAGAGAAATGAAATTCACGAAGTCTGGTTTCTAGACATTTTAATACACTCTCCACTGAAACATTGGTGAATAATGATTTTACATCAAAAGAAACCATGAGTAAATTTCTAGGAGAAATGTTATTCTAGGAGAAATGTACGGGGTATTTATAGGATTCCTTGCCAGTGTGGTTTAATTTACATTGGCCAAACTAAGAGAGCCTTAAAATTTCATGTCAAGGAACATGAGGCATATGTTAGAAAAAAGGAAACACAGAAGTCTTCTGTTGCCCAACATTTGTTGGTCCGAAAATCACACTTTCAATTTTTCTGCTGCCAAAATTATTCAAGAAACATTTTCCATTGGAGAACTGGGGGTCCGTGACACTTAGCCGACAGGACACTTAACCGACACCAGTTAGCCGACAGGACATTTAGCCGACACGGACACTTAGCCGACGGGTAATTTAGCCGACACGGACAGTTAGCCAACACGGACAGTTAGCTGACAGGACATTTAGCCGACAAGGACACTTAGCCGACAGGACATTTGGCCGACATAGAGAGTTAGCTGTCAGGACATTTAGAGCTACGGGACACTTACCTGTCAAGACATTTAGTCAACAAGTTACTAAGCCGACAGTGACGTTTAACTGACACGTACCCAAAAATTATTTAAACTATGAATTACAAAATTTCTCGACTACTCCACAAGTTCAATATATAAGTCATTTTTTCACCTATCAGTAAAATTCATTTTTTGATTCTTAAAGATCTCATATATGCTATTAATTATTGTGTTAGTTAGCATTGTTTGATATGGTATCGTGCTGTTTGGTGTACATTGGCCAAATTGAAAAAGCGCTGAAATTTCTCAAAATGAAAAAACACAAACCTTAAAGAATATTTTACTTCTAAATTAAACATTATGCACTAGTTTAAGGCTATAAACATTCACCTAAGTAAGTATTTTAAGCAAGAGGCATTGTTAATAAAATGTTACAGAATTTTTATCTCAAGAATGGTGGCATGAACTCAAAATTATAGAGGTCACAAATAATTTATACCTTTGCTTGTCTTAAAAATTCCTTTTTTAAATTGTTTTTAATAACAAAATAAAAAAAATATATTTGCTAAACTAACCCTCACCACTATATGTTTCCATAAAAAGTATAATTCAAGGATAACAAGGCCCACCAGCAGTCGAGCGGTAAAGACGCTGAACACTGGTAGTTCGGTCCGAGAATCGAAACCCGCGAACGGGCTGGCTGCATGGGCGTTTTCATGGTTTTCCCCATGTGTAACGTGTATACGAGACAGTTTCCCTTAGAAAGTCCTCCGCGAAGGCATCCCTCCCTTTAGGCAGATAGCCCTTGTGTGCTTTGCCATAATTGAATAATCCAAAAAAATCCAAGGATAACAATAATTTTTATTGCATTGCATTTTGCGCATTTTTTTTAAGCGTAATTCTTGTATAAATTTCTTTACTTTAGTAAAACGGTAAAAATTCTAAACGCAAAACTTATGAACTTATTTTTGTGTACAAGTAAAGTAAAATTAAATAATACTGATAGCGTATGATGCTTTGAAACAAATAAGGTAAATTAAAAAGTTCTGATAATTTTCTTGATTTTATGAGCTTTTCAGGCAGTAGTTTTTAAAATGTTATAAACATAACAAGACGATCATTTATTTGATTATGTGATCATTAATTATTAACATTTACAAGATGATATTTATTTTAGCAATTCATAAAATTCGGAGCTAAACGTTTTTGAGTGTAATGAGGAAAAAAAAGATAAACTCTGGAAGCCTTAGCAATATAATTTTAATTACGACCAAAGGAGTGTTTTTGTAACGTTTTGCGTGTGTTACCTTTATTTATTAAACTCATGTTTTGCAATAAACCACATAAAATTCATTCAAGAACATATCACAAAATATTTGAAAATGACATATCTTTAGAATTTCCGCGTTGGAGATAAAAATTTTATTTTTTGTACAGGGTTGCCATTGCTTGCTTTTAAACTCGTTGAGTTTGTTAATCAAACTTCGTTAAAGTTACAAAATATGAAATGGATTAAAACAAATTCGAAATTAGGCCTTGCAGGTGCCCATGTTCGAGTGGAGGATTACGTTATTCAAAATTTTATGGTTCTAAATTCTGTTGTTTTTTTCATAGTGCGAGAGAAACATACATGCATTCATGCAGATTCCTCATTATTTAATTTCTTTAAATATAATACAGGGCGATAATATTTGGTGGCAACAGTTTGCAAAGTGAAATGGACATTTATAGTGAAACAAAGCAAAATGCTGTTTCGAAACTAATAGCTTTTCTGAGCTGCCGCCTATTTGAGCTAATAAAATAAATTAACAATAAATAAGAAAACTTATGCAGAACTACACATAAATTTAAAAAAATAATCACTATAAAATACTAGCACAATTAATTATTACAGTCAAATACAATTTTTAACATTATAATAAATGCATAAAAATTATTAAAGCGTTAAAAGTGTTAATCACTATGATGTATTATGAAATATTATTGAAATAAAACTTCTTTGTAGAATATTATACTTTAATATTCAGATATAATTTTAAAAAAGCAGTACAAATGAGAATTTTAAGCAAAAACTTTCAAAATTCCCCTTTTTTCATTTCAGTATTTTTTACTTATTTACACCATAAAAGCATAAAAATTGTAAGAGAAAAATTTTTGCTTGAATTTTTCTATTAGTTCAGATTTAAAAATATTACTTTTAAAGAAGGAGATACAAATTTCCTTACAGCATAGGAAAAGCTACAAAAATATCCAGACCTGAAAGCATGCAAAAGCTTTATAATTATTTAAACATCAATTATACTTGATAAACATGCTAAATTTTTAAAAATCAATCTCAGTTTCAAAATAAAAAATATCTAAAAATTCTAATTTGTGAAATGAGGTGCTACACCAGCTTTTTCTTGAAAATTATATGCGCTGCATACTCCTCCGGATATGATCAAGGTGACAGCCGGCAATATGCCAAGGCAAGGGAGAAAACCCATTTGGGTTGGTCTATTTCTTATAAGGTCCATGGATACATATCAAACAATGCTAAATTAACACAATAATTAAAAGTATATATGAGATCTTTAAGAATCGAAAAATGAATAGTGAAAAATAAAATGAATAGAATGAATGATAGTGAAAAAATAACTTAAATATTGAACTTATGGAGAAGTCGAGAAATTTTGTAATTGATAGTAAGTTTGAATAATTATTGGGTACATGCCAGCTAAACATTACTGTCGGCTCTGTGTCCTGTGAATTAAATGTGTTGACAGTTAAGTGTTCCGTAGCTAAATGTCTTGATGGCTAACTCTCCGTTTCAGCAAAATGTCCTGTCGGCTAACTGTCCGTGTCGGCTAAATGTCCCGTCGGCTAAGTGTCCTTGTCGGCTAAGTGTGTTGTCGGCTAACTGTCCGTGTCGGCTAAATGTCCTGTCGGCTAAGTGTCCCTGTCAGCTAAATGTCCTGTCGGCTAAGTGTCCATGTCGGCTAAGTGTCCCTGTCGGCTAAATGTCTTGTCGGCTAACTGGTGTCGGTTAAGTGTCCTGTCGGTTAAGAGTCCGCGATCGGAGAACTGGATTTTCTAGAGGCATTTCACATTCAAAAAAATCTTTCTGTTCTATTTAATAGTACTAATTCCAATCCATCTTTGCCTTCGGCCTTTAAAGAAATTATGTTTTAGTTCTGGTTTCATCAACAGATGGTGCCACTAGCTTATTTTCTGTCGAGGCTTTCTTATCTTATCTGATCATTATATCCTATCTCGTTCATTTGCGCTTTTGCAGCTGACAATGGTGGTTTGATAAAACCATCGAAACTAGTCCTGTGAAAATTTGAAAATATAATGCTGATTTTTGTTGTTTGACTTCTGAATTAGTATTTGTTTTGCGTGTTATTGTGTCTTAATTATTAGTTATCATGTTGAGAAAAACTGCAAGTTTTCAATGTTCAAATGAGGACAGCTGAGATTTCTGCGTGGCTTTACAAAGATCCCGATGTTTAAAGCTTTCTGTAATAATGGGTTTGTTCACAGAATATGGAGATTCACAGTAATCCAATAAAGAGATTTTCATACTAATATTTTAAAATGTTATAAAAATAAAAAAAATATATACTTACCGCAGCAAATATTTTTAAATGCTCTTCAACTGTAAGGTCATCATACAATATATTGTGCTGAGGGCACACACCGAGACTTGAGCGAGCTTTAGAAGTCTGAGTCAAAATATTAAAACCATTAATGGAAGCTGATCCACTTGAAGGGGTACAAAGGCCTACGTAGGGAAATAATGCACATATAAGACAGACCTTTTTAGGTATATATATATATATATATATAAGACAAAAAGTATGTAAAACAATTAATTTACTTTTAACTTTAATTTGCAATAGTCCCTTAAATTTCCATTTAAATTTGCACCGTTTCCTTTTCTGTCTTAAACACTGTAGGTGCTTATAGTAAATTTCTCTTTGGAAGTTGACTGTAACCTCAGAATTCTCCTCCAATTGTAAAATTAGATTAGTAAACTTAAACTTCATAAATCATATTACGTTTCAAATCATCCAAGAAAATATCTGATTAACTGAAGATTGTAAAAATGCACACATACATGTGAGCACCTTTTTTTTTAAAGAAGTTCTATTTCACCTTTCTAAGATTTTTTTGAATATTGTACGATTGCAAATCTCCCAGTTATATGATAAATAACACTTGTAGAGACATTAGGTTATTTTGATGCAGGACTACATGAAAAATTAGTAATGCCCTCGCTGAGACTCGAACCACAGACCTCTAGAATACGTGCTGAATGTACTGACCACTACACCATGAAGGCATGCTAAGAACGTGGGAGAAATACCTTATACACCTTATTCAAGTTACACATTTGTATCACAGAGAATTTGTTTAGAATCTATTGAAATTACTTTTTAAGTCATTGCACTTAATGACATAACATCCATATTATAACATAATAAAATAACAATAAACTACTAAAATCAATAAATTACTAAAAGTCCACAGTTTACGAAAATTGAGCCATGAGCCACTAATCATATTGTAAAGACAGAAGATATTTTGCATTTTACGACTTTCACTCATTTTTTTAAAAATTTTTTTAAATACAGGATATTTTGGTTATTTACTTTTGTTAGTTTTTGCAATATACTTGCTGCTGGTTATCATTATTCTTGTTATGCATAAACTCCACTTGTAAATAATAAAATTTTTAATATTCATTATTTTTGCTCAAAAATATTTTTTAAAAAATCCATAAACCATACCATAGCCTTATTTTATATAAAACTATTTTAATTCCTTCTTGAAAACTGAGAAATAAAATAATAACTTTCTAAAGAGGATTTTATATTTTCTCTATAAAATTTAGACAGTAACACAATACAAGTTAATCATCTGACTTTTTAATCTCTCACAGAATATTTTATCTGTTATCCTATTCAAGATAAGTGGTGATTCCTTATGAACTTTTTTTAAAAAAATTAAATCTTGTTTATAATATTTCAAGAAAAATACCGAAGACCAAGGAACTTATTTTAAGAGAAACATGGATAAATTTATTTGGTTATTATGAATTATGGTTTTTAAACTGTTGAATCAGGGAATCCATAAAACAATAATTTTCTTTTCCAACCTTACCAAACTGTACCAACCTCGGAAAATAAATATTAAAAAACTGGTCAATATAAATTGGTGTCAGGTAAATTTTATATGGAAGCATTAAACCATTATTTCATTATATTATAAAAACTCTAATTAACATTATATTAAGTAACAATAACAATGGAAACTAAAAATTAAGAAAATAATAATTGCTTTACATCAGTAGTTTTCAAACTTTGTCAGCTCACAGAACCCTTAAAACTATAAAGTTTTTTTTTTTTTTTTTTTTTTTTTTTTTTTTTTTGGCTACCCTCATCCCACCCTTAAAAATATATCTTAGAATAATATTCAAAATAAATCAACATGTTATAGGTACTTTATGCAAAAACAACTGAAGAAAAAGGCGCCCAGAAGGGAAAGTGGTTAGTAACACTAACTGCGATACTGAAGGGCACAGATTCAAATCCTGGAGAAGGTATGGATGTAATTCATCCATCCCTTCATAGAAGGCAATGGTGGCCCACCTATCAGGTGCCTCCATAATAAAGACTGCTGCTTCTGGCCTTAGTAGTGGCAAATGCCTATAAACACTGGGGAAAAAAATGAAAGAAAAGTATTTTTTATTAAAAAATTTGAATATAGAATTAGTGTAATTTATTAATAGCATTACCTCATGCTCCAGGTGTCATCTACCCTTGCATTATATTTAGTGACAGGAATGTGCTTGCAATATTTTTACACACACTATTCAAGTTTAGCTCTATTGAGTATACTTTTGAGTTATCTGCAGTATATTATGCCTTTAATTTATTTCTGTATTTTGTTTTTGTTGCCACATACATTGAGATTTTTCTATTAAATAACATAATGTTCCAAATGCATTAAAATGCTTATAGCTTTGTGAGAAATTTCTGTGCATTCTGAATGAATCTGCAATCAACAAGTTGATTAACTTTCAAAGACAACTAAATGTAGCTTTATACTCTTTAGTTAATAAACACTAGTCAACTAGTTTGAGTGCTTTATAATTTTCTCTTATAATTATTATTTTGACTCATAGAACCCCTAGCAGAACACAGTTTGAAGACCACTGTTTAGATGCTTAGTTTTGCAGTCCACACACCATTAAAGAAATTCTTTTGAATTGTAATTTTAACTTGCAGCGCTCCTGAAGAAGTTGCACAGAACTCCAGGGATCTGCAGAATACTTGCCAGAAAAGGAAAAGGTGCAAATTTGGCTCATGGCTCAATTTTTGTAAACTGTGGACTTTTAGTAATTTATTGATTTTAGTAATTTATTGATTTTAGTAGTTTATTGTAATTTTATTATGTTATAATATGGATGTTATGTCATTAAGTGCAATGACTTAAAAAGTAATTTCAATACATTCTAAACAAAATGGTTATAAATTCTCTGTGATACAAATGTGTAACTTGAATAAGGTGTATAAGGTTTACATATTAAGTCACTTGTACAATTTTCAAACCTCTCTGTTTTAATTATCATTCTTATATTTTATATATATTACTCAGATTAACTAGATGTGTATCAAATAAACAGATTAAGCCATCTTCAGCTATTAGGAATTCATGTCAATTCAGCACATGTTAAAATAAATTATTGCAACAGAAAATAGCAACTTCTGCTTAAATTCTTCCATACTTTTCATATAATAATTTTAAAAAATGTTATTTTACATAAATATTTTGGAACACACCAGTAAGAATATTAATAAACGTAGTTTTTCCAGCTCCGTTATGTCCTAAGAGTGCAGTGATTTGACCTCTATACATAACCAGGGAAACATTTTTCACCACTAACTTTTTTTGAAATCCTGTTCTGAATTCCTGAAATATGCAAATACTATTAAAACAAATATATATATATTACTATATAAAAAAAACAATGCAGTTTAAATAATTTTAATTGAAAATGAAGTATTTTCAGTTTAATATAAAATACTACTGATTCAATATTGCTACAGAAATGTTATTTTCAGTAGCAATTCTACAATACATAATCTTGCTTACATTCAAACTGATTTTGAGAAATGTTCTTAGAAAATAAATTATCTCCCTGGACTGCTCCTAATTGAAAGTGATATGGAGCTAGGCAGAGTTGTTCTGCCATCATGGATGTCTTGTTTAATGCCAGTATGGTCAATATAATGTTACATCATTGCAGTCACCTTTCCTATGATTATTTATGAGTATTTGTGTCAGATATGTGATAAAAATAATTTTTACATAAAAAAATTATTTTTTAAATCAAATTAGATATAAAATATTATTTTTTTCATACAAACTTCTATTTTTTTTAATGCAATACACTGTACACAGTATTCCAGTACTAAACAAAAACGTTTTTAGGTACCTTATAATTTCCCATGTACTATAATTTAACAAATTAAACTTTGCACTTACAGATTGACTAATAGTAGTATTATAAAAATCATCCACACAGATTTATGACAACATATATATATCTAAAAAATATTCCACAAAAATGTAAAAAATTATTAAATTACAAAAAAATTACACTGCTCGACATTGAAAATGCAACACCAAGAAGGAGTGGTCAGAAAGTGATGAAATTTGGAAAAAGAGACAGCAAGCAGCAATAAGTGATCTTTATTTCAAAATGATAGTCAGAATACACAGCGAGAACGGCGTCGGCTCAGTAGGATGTAGGACCATTGCGGACAGCGATGCACGAAGAAACACGTCTAGGCATAGAGTCAATAAGAGTGAGGATGGTGTCCTGAGGGATGCCTCTCTATTCTCTTTTAACCATTTGCTACAGCTCGTCTTCGGAATGAGGCAGGGGCAGAGTCTGCAAACGGCGTCCAATCACATCCCACACATGTTCGATTGACATGTGTTCGGTGACAGGTCAGGAGAGTACGGTTACCAGGGAAGCATCTGTATACCTTGCAGAGCATGTTGGCAGATGCGAGCACTGTGTGGTTGGGCGTTATCCTGCTGAAAAATTGCATTAGGCTGCCCCTGAAGGTAGGGGATTGCCACTGGTCGCAGTACATTATCCAAGTATCGTTGGGCCTTCATAGTGCCCTGAATACAAACTAGAGATGACCTGGAATTGTAAGCAATAGTGCCCCAAACCATTATGGCACGTTGTCGCGTGGTGGGGCATTCCAAAGTTACTGCCGGATTAGATCTGTCTCCCTGTTGACTGTCACTGGATAAACAGAAGTGTGACACATCTGAGAACACGACGTTTTGCCATTCTGTCATCCACATCGCTCCCAGTCCTGCACCATTCTAAGCGTTGGTGTCTATGCTGTGGGGTCAACGGCAGTCTTCTTAACGGACGCCGTGAGTGCAGGCCACATTCAACCAATCGACGGGAAATGGTTCTGGTCTACAAGGGAACACCCAGGGTATCTTGTACATGCTGCAGAATCACGGTACAAGTGACTTGCGGGACCGACACAGCTTGTCGGCAGATGCGTCGATCCCCGCATGCTGACGTCGCTCTGGCTGCACCTGCAACCCTCCTTCTTCTCACATTTCCTTGTTCACCATAGCCGATGCACCGTGCTCGCATCCATGTGGGTATCAGCTGCAATTTGACGTAAGGACCTTCTCAGTCCGATCACTATACTCCTCGTAAAATCATCTATCTGCTGGAAGTGCCTTCATTGAGGGCAGCCTGGCATTCTCTCCTATAACACGTATCCTCCGTGACAAAAACCAACTTTCTTCAATAACTCATCTGGCAGAAATAATGACACAAATATTGACCATTCTGCACGTTCCTTCCCTTATATCTTACTTCGCATGCATCGGAGAGCTGCGCATTTTACATCAATCGCATAACTCAGTGATGTGCGTCTACTGTAAAATTTGCATAAATTTCTGACCACTCCTTCTTGGTGTTGCATTTTCAATGTCGAGCAGTGTAATTATTCTAACTTAAAAAATAGGATAGTATTTTACTAAATTAACCTATAATGCATAATATTTTAATAGACACTCTACTGCTCAATGATTTTTTTAATTAAATAACTGAGAACCTATAAATGAATTCAAATAATCAAAAGAAACTAATTTTCAAAATTATCTTAAAATGCAATTCTGATTTCTCAAAAACTCCTGAACAAAATGGAATACAATTATTTTAAAGATATATTCATTCATTGCAACATATAAAAATAAACTAAAAATTCAGATATGAAAGTATAAAACATAAAACTATACTGTGAAAGAAATAAAATTGGATTAAAATACAGCATTAAAATATTAAGAAATAATATTAATATCCTGGAAACAATTATAGATCTTTGATATCAACAGGGAATGTGATCTCATCTAATTTATACAGACATATCATGATGCAATTTCATGCTTTGCATAAAAGACTTAAGTTTGGAAAAATAAGTTCCTTTACAATTTCACATTATTTTATCTCTAAATGCAAAATTTTGATGTGCAAAATTTCAATGTCTTTAAATTATTTCCAAAAGATAAAGATCATCTGCCATCTAGTCAATTCCATTACTGTCTGTCTTGCTTCTATAAGGCCTACATCTCTCGCCTACAAATCCTTCCAAAAAATACTTTACAGGTATAGAAAAAGTTTTTGATTCAATAAACATTGAAATCAAACTCTACATTGCAGAAATTTGCAGTAAAACACACTTCGTGCATGTCTTTCAATATAACCATGCTACTACAGTCAAAAGTCGTTAATTCGGACACCCATAATTTGGAATGATCTATAATCCGGACCTCAAAACTAAAAACGTTCTGCGCATGCGCCGCGTTGACACATGCGCATAGGCGTTACGCGTGCGCGGAAGACCTTTTACGACTGCACCATATGAGTGTGCGCAAGTGCAGAATACGTTTTCGCGTGCGCGTTTTATGTATAATGGACGTAAAGCTAAATAATTATCTATTTCAGTTAATGTTGATGATTGCGTTGTTCCTTATTTTTCGAATTGGATCCGGCTTATTATTTTTTGCAGACTGTAAAGAGCAATTTTATATAAAAGTAAGTTTAAACTTTTTCGATTATATCAAATAGAATTTCCGATATATATTTGTTAATTGTAAAGGATCTAAAGCGAAAGTATGTTTTGAAATCCGAAATCTGTTTATCAATTTCACGCTGCTCGGCGGGGGGAATGGCGCGGCGGGCGCGTAATGAATTGAAAGTTGATCTGTCAGCACTATCCTTATCTTCAGGGCAGATGTTTTTATTTTATTTGGCTTATAATTCCTTATCAAATGTAGTATTTCATGTCGATGTGCTCCGTCTTTGATATCATTTAAAACAAGTTCCTCGTCATTATAATTCGCTTCCGATAGCGAAGAACGTGACAGAGGTTATTGAAAACGAAAAAATTTCGATTGACAAATTAGTCAGTATTCTCGACACAGCAATTATAGGACTTGAACAGCGGAACTTTGTAACTGAACAAGAAATTATGTCTGTTTAATAGAATAAAGAGAAAATTATCACTGAACGAAGTCAACTTAAACAACTTACATTGAAAAAATGTTTAATAAAGTAAACAATAAATATTAAGCTTTTTCTTTTTGCAAATTTGATACCCTTTAGATTCATAATTGTTCTTTATTTCATAAATTACGGTTTCATACTTTTAATTTTAGAATTTCTGCATGCCATCTTACGAGATTTAAACTGATGATCTATAATCTGGAAAAATCGATAATCCGGAATCGCCGAAGTCCCGACGAGTCCGGATTAACGACTTTTGACTGTATTTGAATTTCAGCTGCAGCAGAAAATGATAATTATGTACTAGGTTTACTGTTTGCTTGTTAAATGAAAAAATAAAACAGATAAATTAGTTACTTCAAGAAATATCATTATTTTATTTTTATGTATGGATGGATAACTCTTGACATAAATCTAATTAAGTATTCAGTTATAAAACTAAATGTACAACCATACAATCATCTGTATGTAGAAATTATTTTATATATATTATACATATGTATCCAGTCTATACTTTGTAAATGAAACAAGAAAACTAATTAATATAATCAAATAACAGTCCATAATGTTTTAAGAAAGGACATCTAGACTATACTTTTTTTGCAAGTAATAACCACTACATAGAAACCATTATTAAGATTTGTAGAAAAAGTAATTCATTTGAAACACTAATAAATTTCATAAAATAGAAAAAATCAATTTCATTTCAAAGGAACTGCCTTTGTTACAATAAAAAGGAAACTATCCTTAAAATTTTATCAGCAAAATCATAGATGTTCTACAAGTATTGAATGGTCATGCATTGCTATTAACAAATCCTCAAAGAAAAATTCATTCCCACATGAGTTCATCTAAAAGTAGCAAAAGTAGAAATTTTAACTTGTTTTCAATGTTAATGAAAATTTTTTATAACTGTTTATATTATGTGGATACATTTATTTCAAGCAAAAGATGTAGATTTCCTGATAGATAAAAGATGTATTGTTCTGCAATATACATATATGAGTGTTTACAGTTCTTTAAGTTTGATAACTTTTTTTTTTTTTTTACTTTTTGAGAGAATAACAACAAAACAGAAATATTGCTTCTGTTTCATCTTTACTGACCGATTAAAAATCTACTAAGAGTAAAAATACCTTAGATATATTACATGTCACAATACCAGGTGACACACCACTTGGTTCATCTTCAAAAAATTCAGAATTCAACTCTCGTTCAACTAATTCCAACTCGTCAGTATCTTTGGGCTTACCATTACACCAATAGTTTTTCTACAATAAAATTTATAATAATGAAGTACTGTTAATAATCACAAATAGCACATAAATTACAAAGAAATAAAATTTAAAATAAGTAAAGTTTCTTAACTGTAAATGGAAAGTTAAGTGGCTTTGGAATTCCAAACTGCCATGGCCACACTGCATCAACATACCAAATAATAACTGTGTATATAAAACAAGATATAACCATCATTTCTATGACTGTTAGCATATTCATATCATGAACTGCACCATATTCAGTTATGTTACTCCAACGTGCTCCCTCTCCTGCAAATAATATTATCTCAGAAATGTTAAAATAGATCAAGTATTACTCATTTTTTAGTTATTTTTAATTAAATTATAAACATAAATAAGGTGTTGCAACTACTTTATATCATTAGTATAGTATTACAGTGGATGGGCAAAAATATGGAAACACCTTGTGAAATGCATGTTTGAAAAGAAAGATTGATTTTAATGAAATATATAGGTGGCGCTGGTGTTTTTGACTACTGAAGCCACCTATACAACTTCTTAAATGTGCTAAACAGTTCAGTTGTTGTCGGAGTACTGTTATGTGACATTGCATTATGTCAGAGTTAACAGACTTCGAACGTGGGCACATTGTTGGAGCATGTATGGTAAGTGCTTCCGTAAGCAAGGTAGCCGAGGTGTTTAATTTTTCAAGAGGTACTGTATCGAAGATTTATTCCGCATATTTGAAAAGCGGAAAAACATCATCTGCTAAATCACAGCGTAGACGAAAGTGTGTCCTGAGTGATCGTGACAGACGATCATTAACGGCAATTGTGACAAAAAATAAGAAGACCACAGCTGCAAAAGTTACTGCTGAAATGAATGTTGTGTTACCGAACCCTGTGAGTACCAAAACAATTAGAAGGGAGCTTCATAAACAGGGAAATTGCTGGCCTGTGCTGCAATTGAGAAGCCACTCATCAGTGATGCTAATGCCCGTAACAGGAAAAGGTGGTGTTAAGTCATAAAGCCTGGACTATAGAGCAGTGGAAGCGAGTAATATGGTCTGACGAGTCTTCTTTCACATTGTTTTTCCCACTTCTGCCGAGTTTACTTCTGGAGAACGCCATCTCAAGCCTATAATACAGACTGCTTGTTGCCAAGAGTGAAACATGGCGGGGGTTCTGTTATGGTTTGGGCAGCCATATCGTGGTTCTCTCTGCTAGCCCCATGATAACTGTGTCAGGCACATGACTGCCAAGACTTATGTGAACATTTGGCCAATCAGGTTCATCCCATGGTACAAACTTTGTTCCCCGATGGTGATTGTGTCTTTTAAGACGACAAAGCTCTTGTTCACACAGCTCACATTGTCCAGGACTGGTTTTCTGAGCACGAGGATGAGTTGTCTCATCTGCCCTGGCCACCACAGTCACCAGACCTGAATATTATCGAACCTTTGTGGTCTACATTGGAACGGAAAGTGCATTCTCATTATCCAAAGCCAACATCGTTATCTGAACTTGCCACCGTTTTTGCAGAAAATGGTATAAATATTCCCTTTGGCAAACATACAGGAACTGTTTATCATTCCGAGAAGACTGCAAGCTGTTTTGGATGCCAACGGGTTTTCCTACAACCATATTAAGCAAAGAAACATGTTTTTTTTTTTTTTTTTTTTTGTTTTTTTTTTTTTTTTTTTTTTTTTTTTTTTTGTTTTTTTTTTTTTTTTTTTTTTGTTTTTTTTTTTTTTAAAGGTGTTTCCATATTTTTGTCCAACCCCTGTATAACTACCTAATTACATTTAAACCCTTTCAAATGCATCTTCACACATGCGAAGAAGAAGCTTTCATATAGTATTTTTAATATAAAGGCATTTAGATTTTATTGCAAAACCCTTATTTAAAAATTAATTTTCGGAATATAGATATAAAAAATCAACTGTAATGAATTAAAAACTTACCAGTTGATTCATAAAATGTTATAATTAAAAACATTGTCAGCAGTGCACCAGGAGGAAGCAAACAAAGTCCCAGCTTTGAAATCTTTGGCATTAATGAGTAATTTGTTGTGTCATGTGAGAAATAATATGATGACAGAAGAGCTAACGGAACTTCATATGCAAGAAGTATTGCAATAACCGCAATGGTAACTAAAGTAAAGAATATCATTCCAGAAAATTACATAATACAAGTATCAAAATAATTAAGCTATAAAGTCAAGTTGTACTCATAGATACAAACAATTACTTTAAAAACTATAAAAAAATTACAAGCCATTCACAATACATGAGGGGGATTTATTAGAACATGTGAATTGGGAGATAATTGTCTGATATACATTGGCAAAGCACTATTTGTTGTGTTTTCACATTTAGTTGCAGCCTCATGAGCAATGTAATGGAGCACAGAGTTAACACTAAGTTATGAATAAACTTAGGGAAATCATCAACATAATTATGAAATAAAATACAGTAAGCCTATGGTGATCACAAATTCTTAAAAATTTTGTGTTCTGAATGGCACAAGACGTTTTGGGATGGCAGGGTTTTAGTGAAAGGCAATCCACAGTTCAAAAAGCACACTCCAACAGTAGATATAGTTAAGAACATCAAATGTGTAAAGATCTATGTCAAGAAGATGGCTGTTTGCATAATACAGTCAAAAGTCGTTAATCCGGACTCGTCGGGACTTCGGCGATTCCGGATTATCGATTTTTCCGGATTATAGATCATCAGTTTAAATCTCGTAAGAGATGGCATGCAGAAATTCTAAAATTAAAATATGAAAACCGTAATTTTGAAATAAAGAACAATTATGATCTAAAGGGTATTCAAAATTTGCAAAAAAGAAAAAGCTTAATATTTATTTGTTTACTTTATTAAACATTTCTTTCAATGTAAGTTGTTTAAGTTTTGCTTCGTTTCATGTGATAACACTTTCTCTTTAAATTCTATTAAACAGACATAAATTCTTTCTTGTTCAGTTACAAAGTTCCCGCTGTTCAAGTCCTATAATTGCTGTGTCGAGAAACATCGACTAATTTGTCAATCGAAATTTTTTCGTTTTTCAATAACCTCTGTTACTTTCTCTTCTTCTTCTTCGCTATCGGAAGCAAATTATACGAGGAAATTGTTTTAAATCATATCAAAGACGGAGCATATCGAGATGAAATACTACATTTGGTAAGGAATTATAAGCCAAATAAAATAAAAACATCTGCGCTGAAGATAAGGATAGTGCTGACAGATCAACTTCCAATTCATTACGCGCCCGCCGCGGCGTCCCCCCCCGCCGCCGAGCAGCGTGAAATTGATAAACAAATTTCGGATTTCAAAACATACTTTCGCTTTATATCCTTTACATATTAACAAATATATATCGGAAATTCTATTTGATATAATCGAAAGTTTAAGCTTACTTTTATAAAATTGCTCTTACAGTCTGCAAAAAATAATAAGCGGGATCCAATTCGAAAATTAAGGAACAACGCAACCATCAACATTAACTGAAATAGATAATTAGATAATTTTAGCTTATACGTCCATTATACATAAAACGCGCACGCGAAAACGCATAAAGCACACTCATATGCGCAGTCGTAAAAGGTCTTACGCGCATCAACGTGGCGCATGCGCAGAAAGTTTTTAGTTTTGAGGTCCGGATTATAGATCATTCCAAATTATGGGTGTCCGAATTAACGACTTTTGACTGTACCAGATATGTGAACTTGAATAAATACATCTATCATGAGATTTTACTTAGTGCATTAGCAAAATGGAAGTATAATGCAAATATTACTCCTCACACACTAGCAAAGGAACAAAAGGAATAATAAAAAGAATAATCATTGTAAAAGACCAGAAAAGATCCAATTTTTGTGTTCAGTATTACTGTCAAAGATAAAAATTAGTACTACAAATATTTAAGACAGCAAAATCATGGCTCACTAAGCTTAAAAAGAAAGAGAAGCAGTAACCATGAAAAACAAAAACTTTATTGATTACATTTATTAACTGTATATGTATATCATGAATTTCTGCTGCAAGGGCAGATGATGAATCGCAATTTTTAGGTACTGAAACTATACCAAGTAATTCAGTACTAGTGAGCTGATATATGGGTAGAACAATTAACAACTATCCTCCACATTCATTCCTTCTGTTTTTTGTTTGCCCAGGGGAAAATGTTGCTGAAATAAAAACTATGATATAAAGATACTACAGCAATTTAAAAGACTGACAGAGATGCACTGGGAGGCATCTAAGAAGAGGTTTTTGCTGCTTGGTTCTGACATCTCCAGAAATGCTGGCAGTTGCATATACTCATAGTAAAGGGAATTGTATTGCTCACTAATTAAAGATAATTAACAACCATTAGTTAGTGAGCTGAATATATAATTTTTTGCAATCAGTCTGCAACTTTTCTGACAATAATATATAAAAATAAGAAATGACTGGTTTGTTTTAATAAATTTTTCTGCATATTTCACACGAAAATAAAAAAAGCAATGAATTTGTTGAAAGTAAAATATTTAATTTAAAGCAAGAAATAAACTTTTTAAAATATTTCCCATCTGAACACGACTGATTCAAAATTACAAAGATAATAATGAAATTATAATGAATTCAAAAATTAAATTTTTTCTCGATGCATATTTCCACTTTTATTTTTAATAAAGCTAAAATCTTTACAGTTGTAATTAAAGTAACCGAAACAATTTACCCAAGATGAAAACCAAAAATCCCAGAAAAGTAAAGCCTTACTTTGTCCTTAAATTTGCTTAATAAGAAGTCTTTAAATAAGATGGCAATAGGCACGGAACAATGACTGCAGTCAGTATTTTTGCATTTGAATATTTCTACGCATGCTGTAGATAAATGTATGGAATTTTTAATTTTAACTAGTTAGAGCATAAGAAATATTGTACTAACTGAAATTCTTAATTTAAAGGTAAAGTCTTTTCAAAGCTTTTCTTACCATCATGTTGCGACATTTAAAAAAAATCTGCAATTAGAAGGTTAAGTGAAAAAACAATATTTCAGGGAAAAAAGCCTATGATAGTCTTTTTTCAAATATTCTATACAGAAAAAATTTCATTTTGAAAAAAATATGTATCTTGATAGTAATAGGTCATATATAAAGAAACAACTTTTCACAAGACACAGAAAATAAATTTATTAGGACTTTAACTAAAAGAGAGGATTTTTTTCATATTTGTAATTACTTTGAATTTTGCTACCACATATGATTCTTTGCAGAGAGCTATTATTATTATTTTCTATACACGAAAAATGAACGAATGAAATTTTGTTTTTTAAACACTTAATATTATGATTAAGGTCAAAATGGCATTTTTTGTTACAAAATACAATGTAACCTGTCATAGTAACCAACTCCCATAGAAATAACCAGCTCTAAAAGTGGCCCGTATTTACGAGAATATAAACAAATTCTGGTACTGAACATCACTGACAGTAATGTTTTCTAATATATGGACCATTACAAAAAAGGCCAAAATTATCTCAAAACATAATTTTTTTAAAGAGAAGATTGTTGTATATTTTAACAAACTTTCCATCTTAAGACATAAACCATTCCATTAAGAACCTGATTATGATAAAAGCCCATGAAAATTAAAACTATTTTCCTTGAAGAAAAATTCCTTCATGGCAGACTTTCAGAAAAAAATTGCTCTGAGGAAAAACTGTGAAACAGTAAAAAACTAAAAAAGTTCAATAATTAAAAGGAATTTAGAAAATAATAAAGAAAATTCACAATTCTACTAACATGATTTTAACATATATATAAGATGAAAATTATACAAGAGAAAATACATAAAAAAATAATAATGAAACTTTCAATGGCTCCTACTAGATAATAAATCAACATTTCCTACATTTCCAAAAGGTGATTCTTCTTGGCTGAAGTAATTTTTGCCCAGAAAGGTAAAAATAAGACCAAATAAAACAAACAGAGAGAACTTGGCGTGCATAAATGCAGTTGATTTAAAGTAACATGTGGCAGAATAAATTGTAGGTGTACATTACAATAATTTTAATATATTTTTCAAATCCAAGAAATCATCTTTTAAGCAAATTTTAGAAAAAAAAAATTTATTTTAAATATACAATTTAATATCTAAAATTAATTTGTACCTAGTTTTGTATGTTGCCTATATCTGCTCAAGTCAACATAAATGCAAAATATTTAAATGCATAATTAAGTACAAAAACAATAAAGATTTTTTTAATTCAGCAGTTGAAGCTTACGCATATAAAGATATGCAACATTGGCAGTTCATTAGCTAAATAGTGTTTTCCTGCTTTTCCCATGTTTTATGTAAATATGAGCCAATTTGTAGATACCATTAGGATTTTCAGAGCAAGAAACATGAAAAATCAGCTGTACCCTTGTCCGGATTTGAACCACACATTTTCTAGTGCTGGTTAGAAAAGCTAATCATGTATACACAAGAGCATACATGAAGAAATGTGATAATTCTTCACATTCTTCCCCCCACATGAACAACAAATGGTAAGAGGCATGAGATAGTCAATTAAATCCAGGTAGCAATGAGTTATCTTCCATTATATTTTAGTTTAAACACTCTCGGTAGAGACCGTTTGGCATTTTTGGCGCAGGAAACATGAAATATCAACATGCTGTCTACCTAAATTCAAACCATGGTTCTTTTAATGCTAAAGAGATGTATGAACCATTTACACTGCCCCAACATGCAAGGGAAGAATGGGATAATTTCCTAAAATTTTATTTTAGAAAAATTCTGCATGGGAAAATGGAAAGTGCATAATCTTTTAAGTGAAGGAATAAGAATAGTCAAAAAAAGTCTTTCCTATAAATTAACCAACAAATGCTTATAAAATGTTACATCTTTTAGGAATATTCAGTATTTCCTTATACAGATATAATATTCCTTTGCCAGGTTCTAATAATCTTCCATAATTCCCTAAGAATTACCCACTGCCATTACAATTTCCTTAATAAATTACCATTTCCATACTTTTTATTTGAGAAGACAGAAATAATTTATATAACAACAAAATGCAATATTGAATAAACTTCGTTAATAATAATAATAATAATAATAATAATAATAATAATAAAAGGAAATTCTAAAGAATGGAAGTTGCAATTTTGGTGATTTTTTACAAAGTAATTGGATATTAAAACTTTTGAATTTTATTGAGGTGAAGAAGTAATTATAGAGAATTTTAATTATTGAACATGTTCAAAAACTGTTCATATATTACCAGTAAAGTAACAAGATCAGAAAGCAAATATTGGTCCAGATTTACAGAAAATGCTTCAAAGAGAAATAAATTACATACTGGAGCATACAGATTTCCTAATTATTAATTTTCCAGCATGTTTTAGCACAATCTCTTTTAGAACATTATATGAGACTGCTAAAAACATAGAAGCTGTATTTAAAATATTCATATTTCTTTGCTATATCGCCTCTAAAATACATATTGCATACTTTGGCTTTCATTAAAATTGAATGAAAATAAAACATATACAAATAGTTATACACAGATATAAAACAGTATATGCACTTCGACATAAACGGAAAATTCAAATTTCCTTTTTTTTTTTTTTTTTTTTTTTTTTTTTTTTTTTTTTTTTTTCATACAATCTCATCCTCTGCATAGCATTTTCAATCACAATAATATTTTGTGTTAAATTAATAAGAAAATATTAATTTTTATGAACAGACTATCTATCAAAAAGTAATCTATCAGACGTGAAGAATGCATAATGAATCTACACACAAAAAATGAAATTTAAGCTTGACTATGCTTGAACTAACAATATGTATTAGGCTGCTATCACACGTCGGTTTGTTTTGAAAGAACAACTGTTTGGAACAATTTTTCTGCTTCGTCTTAACAGCCAATCACCACAGCTCGCTTTGGGGTTAACACAGGGAAAACTGGTTCTCCATTACAAACAAGCTAACAGCATTCGGCGCTGATAGCTGATTGGTTGAAAAACGAACAACTTGCAACTTTTTTCGAAAGGAAGGAAAAAGTCGCACGTCTTTCTTTCAATAGTAAACCAGGCAGAAAAATTGTCCGAAACAGTTGTTCGTGTGAAACAAACGCCGTGTGATATGGGCCTTAGAGATTTCCCAATACATTTTCACCATCATGCTGAAATTATATTATGTAACAGGCATATAAATGCATCACAAAAGAAAGATATTAAAATAAAGAGAATTACAAAAATCAGCTTTTAAGAACAGAATTAACTTACCTCGATTGAAGAATGTAGAAAATGCCAAACAGAATAATACCAAAGTGGCTCCAAATAGCAATAATAATATTAGCAACAGAAAGCCATTTGTATGTGCCATAAAAATTAGAGATTTTTTTAGTGGACATTTATAAATTATTATAATTATAAGGAGGTCAAGAGCAGCAAGTCCAAAATAATTTAGAAACGTACTAGTCCAATACAGATTATCTGTCATACCCATCATCTTTAAAAGTTCCTAAAGACAGAGAAGATAAAATGTTACAAACTTAAAAAGCAAAAAACAACATTTGAAATAGATTGCACTTAAAATTAGAACATCAAGAATATTGCAATTTGTTTAAAACAACACATTCAGTTGAAAATCAGATCACAGGAATTTTCCTTAGTTATTTATTTTTCGTTTAGAAACGAAATGATTGAACAATTCCTAATATTCCCACTCTTAATAATATGCTGAATAAAATTATACTCTTCATTGTTATTTAATATTTTCATTTTGTCCCTTTAAAAGGAAAATATTTATTTTTATGATATAATAGGAAACTATATTACATTTCAGCTACTTGTGTTTTTAAAAGAATGAGGAAAAAACAATTACACATGTATACAAATATAAACAATGTAATTTATCATTAAAATTCAATTTTTACTTCAGTAAATATAATTAAAATTAAAGCCATTTTAAAGCTTTTTAAAAGAGGGGGAAAGATTATTAAACACCTGAAAACATTCATAAGGATATGAGTAGTTTAATTTCAGTATCACATGCAGTTTAATTTAATGTGTATAAATCAATTTTGATAATTTTTTATCTTAATATATATGAAAATTTTACTGCATATATTACTGAGACAGCATTTATCATTAACCTTCAATTACCAAATAACTGACGAATGACAAAAAATAAAGTGAAATAAAACTATATGGAATTTTCCGAACACATAATAAAATACCAGGTTTATTTAACATACAAAATGCATACTGTTTTAATGGATGCCAGAACAAACCTGATATCAAGTAGAATCTCTGATACTCAGAGGCATAAAAGCAAGTTTTAAAAAAATTTCCAGCGAGTTTTCAAAGTATAAAAATGTACAAAATCATGTTACTTTTCCACCTATTATGCAAATTTATAATTACAGTTATGTTAACCAGATAGCAGCCATTATGATTGAGAATTGTCTTCTTCATACAACAGTAAATGTATTTTTGTAGAAATCACAGATGCATGCTGTCAGATCATATCATATTGCTGGTGATCTTGGAATAATTTCAATATAATAAAGATCTCAAGAAAACCCACAAAAAATCAAAACATTTTAAGTCTAAAAATCCGTATGACCATTCATTATGAAAGTAATAGTTTACTATTTCATCTTCATCAAAAATTGAGAACTAGAAATAGTATGACATAATGATTTAATCCTGTATGAATGCCAGAAAATCCAATGCTTATCCTGCTTCCAGGTTAGGCCAGTGTTAACTTTCAAAATGTGATAATTTAAAAACACAACCACATATATTGAATATTCCAAGACATAATATTGTCTGATGTATAAAACTGCATCTAAAAAAATTATTTACTAAAATTAAAATTTATAATAATAATTTCATATACATGTGTGCTAAATACACCATTTTAAATACCATAATTAATAGAAATACTGCTTTTTAAAATGTTTTCCAATTTTTTTAGCCATGTTGGACAATTTTGATTGCAGTAATTAAAAATTGTTTAATAGAAGGTATTTTTGTGATCTAATTCTTTTGAATGAAGATGTCATATCTTGATCATGCTTCCCCAATGCATAATTAATAAAATGCATTTAATATGAAGCACATTAGAAATGCCCTTTTATATATGCTTCAAATTGAATAAAATTATTGCATATAGATCAGGGGTTCTCAAACCCATGCCCGCGGGCACCATGGCGCCCGCCAATAGTTTAACGTGTGCCTGCCACTGTGTGATCATGATAAAAATGCTTTAGTTTTCAATAAAATTCTATGTAAAAGTTTTCTTGTTTTTAATAAAACAGAAATTGCGTCCAGCACAGATACCAGCACAAAGCGAAATACGACCATGTATTATTAACTCTATCCAACTATAAATTCACCTTGAAAACGTAAATGGTGTCCGCCATCAAACAGATATTCTACAATGTGCTCTTAGGGACAAACAGATTGGGGACCCCTGATATAGCTCATTAACACATTGAAAATTATGCATGTAATCACAAGACACTGATATTGTATTAAACAAATATATGCAGCAAATTAAACCATAAAATTAATTTTTTTTAAATTAACAATGGTTGCAAAATACCATGATAATGGTTATTTCTATCAAGGAGATGGACTTTGGAAGCTTTATGAAGACAGGTGGAGATATAGCAATCGATGAATGTGGGCATTTCTATACTTTCAATTTGGAGATTTAGCATATTCATTTAAAAATTAAATATTAACGCATATTTTTTCAAAATGTTCATTTACAGAATGCACAGTGAATATTGAAAGTAAATAGACAACCTGAATAAATTCTATAACTTAAGTCTTGTTATAAGGTTATCTATAGACATATGGCAAGAGAAATATTGTAAGTGATTTGATCAAATACACTCTGTCATAAAAAAAATATACATATGTACCCAGAAGAAATCGAGCCACAATCATGAAACTCGGCAGGAATTTAGTCTGGCAAGAGATATGCAAATGATTTAAATTTTGACACCAGTGAGACAAGGGTAAGCTTAGTATGAGCATATGAGAAATAAAGCTGGGAGAATATAAAATCATAACTGCTCGTGCCATAGGGCTATTCAAACGAATCTGTCAACTTGGATGGACAGTATAGTGACTAGAAATGTCTCTAAGGCTTAACCAGCAGCAGTATGAACATTTCTTGCACTTTCAGAAGGGGTGTATAGTAGGCCTCAGAGAAGCAGGTTGGTCAAACAGGCATATCAGCTGCCACTTTGGTCGGAGCGATAGAGTAGTTGCTTGGTATTGGTGATAATGGATCACGGAAAGGATAATCTACCGTCGCAAAAGCTCAGGGCGTCCCAGGAACACAAATCAGCATGAGGATTGTGCAATCATAAGAGCAGCCACTTCTGCACTATCATCGCCAGCATCGATTCAATACCTTTTATCAATACCACCTTCCAAGTATTTGGAGGTAAAAAGGGAAACATTCACAGATGACTGGCCGATGTCTATCAAGACGCCTACTAACCTTACATCATAGGCAGTGTTGATTAGATTTTTGGCAAAACTCAGGCAAGCTGGAGTGTGACCGACTGGAGACGTGATCTTCAGCGATGAATCCCGATTCAGTCTGTGCTGATGACCAATGCACACGTGTGTGGAGGTGGCCAGGCCAGCAATCTGATTCAGCATTTGTTGTCGATCTGCAAATGGTGATTCTACAAGGTGTAATACTGTGGGGGAGTAATTTGTTGGGACACACGATCACCTCTAGCTGTCCTTCAAAGCACTACGACTAACCGCAGTTATGTGGACAATATATTAACATCAGTTGCACTGCCTATGCCACCAAGTCACCCAGGTGCCATTTATCAGCAATACAATGCTCACCTACATACTGAGGGACCCTTTCCAACAAGTCTTCAAGGATATAATGTACTCCTGTAGCCTGCCAGGTCACCAGACCTCTCGCCAATAGAGCACATTTATGACAAACTTGGAAGGCAACTGCAGCCATCCCAGAATACTGGTGAATTAACTGCTTAGGTGCAAAGATTATGGCATTATCTTCCTTAGCGGGTCATAGGTGACCTACTTGATTCGATGCCACACCATGTTTTGGCTTGACTAGCTGCCAGAAGTGGCTATACTATTTACTGATTTGTTACCTTTTTAATACCATAATTTCTTAACCTTTTGGGTACACATTTATTTGAAAATGTTTTTGTACTTGGAGCATATTTAACCCTTTGGCTACATTTGATGTATCAGTACGTCGTGCATTTGCTTGGGCAAAGACGCATACGATGTTCTGATAAGTCATTGAAACTGAGACAAGATTTAGCTATTTCATTTTGGTTTATTTCAAAGTAATGTGTATCTGCTGCAATAGAAAAAATAATTTTAATAGTTTGGTAAACCTTGTTTGGGATACACAACCCCATAATGACAAAAATAGAGAATATAAAAATTTTAAATTTTTAAAAATGTGCTTTTGAGATTTGCCTGCAATGGAAGACACTGAGATAAAATTTCTGTTTGAATGCAATATTTTGCACTAAAATCTTCAGAAGGAGTAACTGTTTCAAATCACCATTAAATTTCCAACAGGAAAAAAAAAAAAAAAAAGAAATGCTATTTGGTTTATAAGTATATTGGATGATTTGGGGGATAAATATCTAATTAAAATGTAATACATAATAAATAATTTTTTGCACAGATAAGAAAGACATCATTCTTTTTCTTCTATTAAAAAAAAAAACTTAACCCACGGGCATGTGCGCTGGGTCCAAAGGAACCTCATGTTTCAATAAACCTTTCTCAAAGCACACCTATTTCACGCAAGTTGTTGAGGTCCAGTGTAATCGTGTCTTAGGTCGACCTCTTTATGTTCTCCAAATTTTTCCGTTGGGGCTTTATTCAGAGTCCTGATTTTGATGCGATCGGGTCTTTTAGATCCAGTGAGCCTATTTGTGTTACTATTACATCGTTGATTTGTGATAGTATAGAAAGCGGCAAAAATGTCACGTTATTTATCTTACAAAAAAGAAATGTTTCAAAAGTTATCAGAGGTATCAACTGGTAAAGAACGTATTAAAGAAAATGAGGATGGAAGTGATCATGAATTTTTAATTCACATGATTCTGATTCAGATAGTGATACAGATTCTTTAAACGAGAGTGAGAAAAACATATTTTTTTTCGGGGGGGGGGAATTATCAGAAACAAAACACAGAGGGAAAAAAAGAAAAAAAAAGAAAGAAAATTAAATAAAAAATGCAGTGTTTGTCCAACAAAAAAGTAAAAAAAAAAAAAAAAAAAAAACTTTGCTTCGCCAAATGTGAAAAATATTGGTATTTGGAACACATGAAAACACTTTCTTCAATGTGCTGCTTACATTTGTAGTTGCATTTTCCTCTGTGCCTATAGTACTAATAAAGAAAATAAGAATTGATACAGAGTAAAGAGTATCGATACAGTTAATTTTTTTCCCTATGCTAATAAATAATTAGATTTTCTATTCCTTTAAGAAATTTTCAGGGTTTAATCCTAGTATCCGGTGCACCCAGGATTTGGCTACTTTTGGCGACTTTATGATGAGCAGTAAAAGCGGGACATATATGATGAGTAGTTAACCGCTCATTCAAAGAAAATATACAGTTAAACATAGTATATACTATGTATATACTATATATTATACTATGTGTGTATATACATATACTATGTGTGTATAGTATATATATAGACGTTCTTTGGATCATTTTTAGTGTTGGCGATAATTTTCAAAGTCACGCCAAGGCTTCACCGTATACTAGGATTTTACCGAACTTTTATTTCATAAAAGCATTTGGAGAAATTAAAAATTTCAACTTGCATATTTTTTAAATTTGATCATAAAATTTATTATTGACATAGATGTAACATTTTTTTGGAATATTTACAATATTTTCTTCAAAAAACAAGAACTGGGTCTTTTGGACCCAGTGCACGGGCTCATGTACAGGGTTCATAGCCACATTTTAGTTAAAAAAATAAGCACCTATAAGCCCTTTCCAAGCACATTTTAAGAAAAAAAAATAAGCACCTGTCTAATTACTTATACACAACTGCATAACTTCAAAATTAACTCGTAATTAAAATATGAGAAATGCTATTTATTAAGAGAGAATAAGCATTACCTCAACCATGGAAATATTACTTTTTTTTTTTAATTAATAACAGTTCAATTTACAGAACTAGTTTTACTATGAGAGAAAAAAAAAAAAAAAACATGCAGAACTAACTATCTTTACAAGATTTATGATGAAATTTCAGTTCAAATAGAAAAATAATAAGGCATATTTATTCTATTTGCTTGGAACTTAATATAAACAATTTATTTTTCCACTCATATTATTATTTAACTAATTTAAATCTAAATTCTGAACATTTTCTAAATTTTCATCGTATATCAGTTTTCCCTTAACAGATATTGCAACGCAAGTAATTTAAGTAAAACAAGGAACATTTCGAAATCAGAAGACAGAAATTGCATCATGCAGTCATCCTTTAACAGTAAAGCTTAACTATCCGCATACTTGCAAATTGGCGAAATCGACAATTGAGCGTGACTTGAAAAAGGAGGATGGAGGGGTGGATAGACTGTAGCCCTAACGCTTTTGACATTTTCGATATGTGAATCATATAAAAACAAACAACGGAACAGAAAATATTCTGTTAGCAAGCACAAGTAAAACTCTTTTAATTGTTCCTAAACAACGAACATCAAAATTATACTCTGCAAATATCGCAACGTTTTGCGCAAAATACGTGCACCGTAATTCTCCCTACTGATATTACGCATTGGATTCAACAGCTGCCGGTTTGGGAGAATAAAGAACTAAATAAAGGAAAAGAAAGACACTTACCAATCTGGGGTGTTTATTCATTCTAATTTTCAACAGATTGCGTTAAATTTCCGGAATAGAATCATTCTTCGCTTGGGTTGGTAGACCGCAGAACTTTTAGTCCTATTCAATTCAGATTGGAAAGTGACACACACACACCACACCCAAAAAAAAAAAAAAAAAAAATGTCCGTTGCTTGTTTTGCAGCGAACTGTAACAGTTTCAATATTCGAGATTTTGCGGAGAAATACTGTAAAATGTATTGGCCAAAAAAAATGAAATTATTTTGACTATTCGATTACTTTCCCTTTATTTAAGCCATTCCGAATATTATTAATTAGAAAGCTAATCTGTGTTAAAACACAACCATTTCTGGAAGTTTACTATACTTCAGCAGTTACTGACTATGTTATTATAAACATTCATACATATGCTCATAATATAGGCATAACGATAATAATAAACACGAATATGAACTGACCAAGTGGAACAAGAATGCAAATTATTAAGATCTTGATAGAAATTCAAACGTGTGTAATATTTGGGTGGGAGGAAAAGAATGCCGAATGTACCAGAATTTTCTACTGCTTTCGCAATTCTTTGACCAACAGAACGATGGGCACCTGTTCTCCGCGTACACCAAAGGTTATGTTAATGCAGAGAAAGGGGGAAAAGCTATTTCCGGGAGTATGATTCACCATCTGACACTCCATTTTTTATTAGGAAGAAAAGTTGTTTATTTAGTTTCGGCTTTGGAACGGGGAAAAATTGGGCGTTCCTTTAAAAAAAAGCACTAAAAGCAAAAAATAAGGGCTTTAAAGAAAAAGTAAGCACCTATAAGGGCCTTTATATCTTATTTTCAAATATAAGGACTTATAAGCACTTAAGGACCGCTACGAACCCTGTTATATAAAAGCACACACTCGCTGGTTAAGCTGCGACAAGGTGATTACGGTAATGCATAAAACACACACACAAGAACAAACAAACAAACAAACAAAAAAAACAAAAAACTCTAAAACTTACTTTTGAGCCTTTTGCTTTTTCTCCCACAACTCTATTCATAAGAATAAGAATAAACATTAAAAAACCAAAGCCGATGAATACTGATACTGCTCCTACACCATGAAATGCACTTGAAGGTTGTATATAAGCAGGATATGGAAATCTTTGCAAAAGCATCTAATTTTTTTTAAAAAAATAAGAATATACAATAAAATTAACAAATGCAATTTCATATAATTCACACAATAATAAACAATGTCAATTACTTTACACAGTTTATTACAAAGCATTTAATATTAAACTTTAGTAGAAAACTGTGAACTTATAACTTAGATCTATATTAAAAACTTAACCCTATTTCCTATTCACTGCTTTTGAATTCTCATAGCATAAATGTAATAATTTAAATTGATACATAAACATTTATACGCAAGATTCAAATAAAATATTTTTCATCAAATGGATAGAAAACATAGCATTACAAAATTCAGAATATAAAATGTAAATAAAGCAAAATCATTCAAACATTATTGTTGTTACTAATGCTCACTTGTCTGACCTATTGTCAGCCCAAACTCACGAAATTCCTCATGGCAAAGTGCGCATGTTTACATTTGTCGTTGGCAACAGCCTTGAGCACCTTACAGGTGAAAGTGTGATTTAGCTCAGTTCCACCCCTAATTTTAATGGACAGCATCCCGAGAGGGCGGGTCCAAGTGTCTTCCACCCCTCTTCCCCTACCATCAACCTCTTGAGAGGACTTTTTCTCGCAGCATATTTAGAATGCCCCCATGTGGACACTATACATTTACAAACATCCATGCCGTCTCTGGAATTCGAACCCGGGGCCCTTCGGCATGGCAGTCAGTCATGCTAACCACTATACTAGTTGGGTGGCTCCAGTTTACTTTTGAATGAGCCTGTAAAAGCTCCAGTAAAAATTTTAACTCCAGAAAAAATAATTCAGTAAAAATTAAAACTGCAATTTAGAGAAAAAGTTTGAAACAGTCGGATTAGTATTTACAAAGGAATATGATATTATCTATACAAATGTCACAATATTTTCATAAAATAAAAAATGAAATTATTTTCATAAATTTTAGACTTCTGAAACATCAGAAATGTCAAGCAAATAGTTGCATTAAGTTTACTACAAACAAATACAAATATAATTATCTTATTACAGTAAGTACTGATTCATTACTTGCTATAGACAAAAAATTAAAAATTTTTAAACAAATGACCTAAAAAATTTATTTTCCATTTCTGATTTTAATTCTTGGGGAATTTATAACATATCTTGCCAACATTAGAGATATATCGGCCAAACTAAAAAAGCATTAATGTTTTACATAAAGTAATGAAAATCTTATGTCCAAAAAGAAGAAATAAACAGTCTTTGACAGCTAATCATTGTTTGAAATTTAATCATAGTTTTGACTTTGGGTCTGCAAAAATTATCCAAGAAGCTTCTTGCGATGAATTTGATGTCCTTGAAGCTTTCCACATTCAAAAACATTTATCTTGCTTTTAATTCCAATCCAGTTCTTACTAATGCTTTAAAAATGTTACTAACTTATAATTTTTTATGTTTCATTACTATTTCTGTGGATAGATACAGAACTATTACTATTTATGTGGACCTCCCTGTTCATTTTACTGTTTCGCCTTTGGTATAAAAACAATTTCTCTTGTTGCAGAATTTCTTTTCTCCTGAGGATGATGGACCTGCACCTGTTGCCTTCAAAATCAATAGAATCTTGGTTAAAATATGTCAAACAGACGGTTGTTGCTTTGCCTAATTTTATGTTTTATTTTTATGTCATTTGGTGTTCCATGTGGCAACAACGAGTCAAGCTAAAAACGTCGTTACTTCGAGCGTTCCTTGATAAGCGTTGCGTAAGCTTTTATTTCTTAAAAGTTTGGTATATTTTTATGTAAAATAAGTAACATGTTGCAAACAAGAATGAAAACTGTAAAAATAAATATGCTGTTTCTTTTAAGAGCAATAAGCATTTATTTCACTTATGAAATGCTCTGGCTGATCAGTTTCGATTTCGCTTATTCGTCAAATCCACATTACTTGGTGTGTTTCTCTCTTTATTATAAATATATTTCTACCATATAACGGTTCTATTCAGAAACTTTCACTGATACAATGATTCATATTTAACTATTTTGTGGATTAAAAAGGTATGTATTTATTACATTTTTTACTCTTCATTTATTGAAGAGGACTTCACCTGAAAAGTAAATGAAACTGAAAGTAAATGAGTATTAAAGCTATAATTTCTGAAGATTACACCTCAACTGTATTTCTGAAGATTTTCAGAAATTAAGTTATGACAAAGCTCCAAAATGAAATTTTGAAATGAATATAAAAATCACTTAATTAAATACTTACAGATAACACTGTGAAGTCATAAAGCTTTGAATTCGGTTTCAAAATATAATAAACTCTGCAATTATGTTTTCAATAATCTAAAGATCAATATAGATTATTCCTACAAGGCAAAAAAATTGCATAAATCCATAAAAATAATAAAATAATTGTAAATAATAATGATAATAATTCAGAAATAATTATGAAAATAAAATAAATGAGGCAAGCTAAGAAATTTGCCACTACATGAATAAAAAGTGCATGTAAAACGTCAGAAGTACACAGCATAAGCAAATACTTAACATGCAGGAAAACTAAATCATAAAAGTTATTTATTAAGGAACAGATATTTTCTGTCTATATGGCATAATTTGGACATTTGAATTTAGAGAATCTGGTGCATTTATTGAATTTAAAATGGTATTAATTTTTTTAGATTTGAATATTTTTGAATTTGATTGATCTAACACAGCATTTTATTGCAAACCTTATTAGAAGATAGGAGCTCCCAATGCTCTCAATCAGCAAGGAAGAGCAAAATAAAATATGAAATATATAACAAAAAATTATACCATACATTCCTGATGAACATGAATCTTCAAGTTCTGATTGGGATATATTTATGAAATCACACATGTTACAGTTATAGGAAGTCCATAGTGCAAGAGGTTTCTAACTTATTATGATTTTTTTAAAACAGTTAACAAATTCTGAATCTTCAGATAACTGAGAACAAAAATTCAAGTGAGATACCCATCCCCATTTATACGCCTTAACTATTTGTATCCTAGTCTTGAATGTGAAAAGAGTAACGCTTTTTTTTATTGTCATATTGAGATTTTTTTATTGTCATATATATATTGTTATGAATTCTATAAAATATAGAATTGTTGTATTTTCTTATGCAATGCAGAGTGAGACAAATTTTAAGAGAAAGCTATGCTAGAAAAGTAAAAATATAGGGTATGTGCATTTAACACTGTGTAAACGGATATCTCAGTAATTTGTTTTTAAATAGAATAAATGTAATTGACACTGTGTCAGCTGTAACCATAATTCTACACTCTTTTCGCTTTCCAGAAATCTTGAGAAGCAGAAAGTACTAGAAATATCTCTTGTCAGTTGAAACTATTTAAGGTCAATGAGAGAGCATTTGCTCCCAGTTGCTTAGTTGTTGTTGCGAGTTGTTTAGTTCTATGCGAACAGAGATATCTGAATTAGCTTTCTCCTTAGATACACTTTGCATTGCATTGTGTTTTAATGTTTCTAGTAGTCTGAAGTATAAGTACTGATTATACTGCATGATATTGTGAACATTTGTATGAATATCTCTGAGGAAAATTCCAGGGTTCTGATATATTTCTTTTGATAAGAATAAATTTTATCGACCTATTATCTAATTTGTGCATTCAATATATTATGAACCTGTATGCACGCAACAATATATTTTTTTATTTCACTGCACTGTAATGAGATACAAAAAGAAGTGTATATTATGATGTTATGTTCTTAAAAAAAAAAAAAAAAAAGGAGGCTGATTTTTTTTTGGGGGGGGGGGCAATAAGTTTTTTTTTATTCTCATTTTTTCACAAAGATATAGTTTCAGATTTACTCCCTTCTTTAAAGTGGTAATTCAATTAGAACATCCACTTTAATATCATACAGATAACACATTACCATTATTATGCATTCGTTTAAATTGTAACTACAGCAATTGTACACTAGTTTCTTCCAATTGACTTGAACAGGAAAGGATGATTTTGAGAGTATTTTTTTTTTTTTTTTTAAGTTACTTTCCACTTGTTTATTACTTGAAGAAATCTCTTTCATACAAAATTTACTAAATTTATATAACTCCAAATACTAACATTTATATCACCGATAACATAATATACAAACTAAATATTTTGAATATTATAATATAATAGGTAGGCTAAGCAATGTGGTTAATGAACATTAGTGTCAATAGGTGGAGGATTATAGCATTGGATGGGTCAAGATGGTGAAAGTTAACTGAGATGGTCTTAGCTGGAAAGCGGCTGTAGAGTGTAAAAAGAAGAACACGAACAATAAAACTTAATACATCACTAAAAATTTTAATAATATGTAAAATCAGTAAGATTGCTCAAAAAAATAAAAATTGGATGTGCTTGTTTCGTAAAAGACAAGAACCAGTCTCCTTGAAAGAATTATTACCTATCATTTATAATCAAGAAACAAAGCTTAACTCTAGGTATAAAATTTAATTTACATACCTTTTACAAGTAATACATGTACTGAATTGTTATTTTAGCACTTTTTCATTGGGCACTTGCCAACATTTTGACAGGTATTTTACTTGTAAAAAAATTCTAGTTATAAGGATAATTGGTACTTTTCTGTTATCAGGACTCTGGATTCAGAGCTGTGTGTTTGTATGAAAGCATGTATGTATTTATATATGTAAGTAAGTGTGCAAATAAGCAGGTATGTATGTAAGTATGTGTGTATAACAGGGGTGCTTGTGGGACCCAAAAAATCCCCTGGAACTTTTACGGACTTACTACCGACATTTTGGAGTTTCGAGAAAGGGGGGGGAAGAGAAATAAAAAATTATAATTATGAAGTATTGAATGACCTAATTATAAAACTTCAATGAATTACTTTTTTGCAAAATTAATAACCATAAATTTTCAAACATATAAACTACTACATTTTATGTAAATATTTTAAATTACCTGAATTAATTCTTTAAAAAAAATTATCTAATTTCTGCTGCTTTTTTTTTATTTTCTGATGTTTGTGGGCTTGTCTTTCTTTTGTGGTGAACTTCATAATTGCAGGAAGGTTGACTTTTATTTTCCTCATTTACAGTTGAAGAAATTTCCTCGAGAACTGCACATGCAGAGGTAGAAGCAGTTTGCTTTTCTGCTAATGTAGAAGGTTTTTCAGAGACTTTTATAGGTGACTCATCTGAAATACATGTTTTTAAGTCCTCTTGATATGTTTTCCAACTTCTGTTCATATTCAGTAAGAGATCTTTGTGAATTGGATCAGTCATTGGATTTTTTTTTTTTGAGCCATATTTTTCACATGAGGTTTCTTTAGAAGCCATTAAATCATATTTAATAGTCTGCACTGCATCTAGGGAATCAATCTTAAGAGAGGTTCTATAGTCAGTGACAAGTGTATCCATTAAGTTGAATGCACTTTCCACTAATGGGCCATGGAAGCAGCTAAGGCAGGCTTTGACCAATTTAGCCAATGTAGGATACTTATAATCATTTGTGAAATCATCTTTTAAATTAAAAACTTTAGACCAATATTTATCAATTGTACACTTGACTTGATTTCCACTTTCATCAGATGTGTAGAGCATTTCTTTGGTGATATCAATATCACTCTGGTATAACCTTATTTCAGCTTCTACTTTTGACTTTTCATTATCACTAAAAATATGGGACATAAAAGATGATAATTTTTCAAAAGCTAATATTGTACTGGTTTTACCTCTTAGCTCTGGATCTAATGCTGTAAAACTAATTAGATATGAATTTTTAAGGGGTAATTTCTGTTTCATATGCTGTGCTGTATTAGTATAAGCTTTCATCAGAGAAATTTGGAATTCTTTTGCTATTGGATGATTTTTTGATAATTTCTTCAGGAGAGTGGAAGCTTCTGCACCAGTAAATATTACTTTGCTAGGTAGATGGAATTCTGGATTTGTGACATCAACCTTTAATAAATCATTATAAGATGTGTGCACTCTATATTTTCTGGCTTCATAAAAAAAGAGAAAAATTTTGCCATCAATTTATAAATACTGGAATGTATTAAATGAAGCATTGGTTTTTTTGTTTCAAATAATTTAATATATGTGTTGAACTCTGGTAATACTGCTGAATATAATGCCATATGCAATAAAGTTTTGTTTTGCATAACAAATAACCCATTTAGTATTCTTTTTTTCCGAGCTAAAGCATCCTTTGTGAGTTGTTGGGAATGCAAGCAAGAATACACCCCTTCAACAAATTTTTTCTGAGCTGCAGAAATATTTCTTTTATTGTATACAGTTTCAACATAAGAAAAATAATCCCCTTTATCAGTTTTATCCAAGTAGTGAAAATAAAATGCAATAAGAGCATCCCACAGATCTTTGATTCTTTCTAAAACACATAAAATGTACACCCACCTATGGTCTGGTCTCTTCAAGGGCTTAAGTTTTTTAATGGCAAGGGATTCACAGATTTTGAA